TTTATAAGTATCTTATAATATATATAATATATAAGTATCTTATAATATAAAAAGTAACATACATATATCATTAGGATTTATCCTGCGAGATAATGAAATAGAATATTAAATTGGATCGTGTCGCGTTTATGCCATCTAGCGTATATCGCACGTACCACCTTGAGAGTTAATCAATTTTTGTTCGACAAAATCACTTTACGTATAGAATCTAGTAGGTGGCGCTATTACAAAGTATTTTTTGCTCCTTCACTCTAAAGAATATATTATTTTAATTTATTACACTTAAATTTAGGCTCTACATGCTTAAAAATAATGATTGCAACATTTATTTGCTATAAAATTAAAATTTTATATTTTATGCCACACTTGTGGTTATAGTTAGTGGTTTTACCCCTACGCCAAAAGAAATTATCCCATATCTAGAAAGTGGGTATAGTTTTTCAGAATCGGTGAAATAAACTTTCCTTCATAATTTTCTCATTTTTAATTTACATTCCAAAAATAACATTCTATTAAATACACAATAAGATCTAAAATAATTTATTTTGAAAACAGTGCAACACAACAAAATAATAATAAAATTATACTACTTAGACTGGATATTGAAAATGATGTGTTCTGTAATAAATCGTATGAGCCCACTAATAAGGATTAATATTAAAAATATTAGGCGTAAGCGTATCACCTTTTTGTTGTAAAGTAGTCGTAATATCTGTTTTAGCTATATATTCTATCGCGCTCAAGGTTTGTTCCACGGAATATAAAAAACAACTTGTTTTTTATATTCCGTGGTTTGTTCCACGGAATATAAAAAAGTTTGTTCGGTATCCGAATCAATGTATATATTTAGATATTTTACGTTTCGGCGGTTTCGGTTTTGAGTAGATATTAGATATTCTGCGATGACTCATATCAACACGGTATCGTAAAATCGTAATATCTAATACATAGTTAGTTTGTCGTCGGATATATAGATATTGGATTTTGTACTAATATATAGATATTGTATCTATATACGATTTGTATCCAGTGTTGCCACTTTGGGGAATTTGTCGCTAGATTTAGGGAATTCTGCAATAGCTCAACGATTTTTGCATTTGCTAAGTCACTAGATATGGATTTGGTGATTTTTAGCGACTTTATCAAGACGGCATAGGTGACGAAGACCACTTACCATAATGGTGGCTCGTCTGCTTATTTGCCCCTGGTTGTTTAAAGAAAATTTAGTAAGGTATTTTTTTTATTATAGTATTGTTAACATTGATTGATTTATCACAGTATTCTCAGTACGGCCGATCGTCGTACGATGGCGTTAAAATCGAGGTTGGTGCTCTTTCTCTTACGTACTGAATTAGTAATTTGATATCCCTGTCCGCCATAGATAGTTTATCATAGACACGGGATTTCCCCTGCAATAACCATACAGCTTTTTTTTCGACATTTTCATTCATAGTTCATTCCTATTTATTCGCTGTGTTTAATAGTTGCGTAATGCGTTGTTGTGGTGTGACTACGTAAAACTTTTGTAAAAAAAATATATTGTACATCGAAAATTAAAATGGAAATTCATTTGAAAAACAAGGTTTATGGCCAAAAACATCGTAAAGAATGGGAAACTATTGAGGAGTTTAAAATGTTAAACCAGTTAAGTAAGCTTATTGTGTGTATTGCCGGACGGATTTACAAGCAAGAATAAATGATTTGCGAAAACATGCTGAGTCAAAGAAACATAAGGATAATTTCTCTCTTTTATTTAATTTAAATTATATCTACAAACAGAAGAATTAATTTTTCAACTGCTCCCAAACCACAACCCACGACGGATTTATACGCCTAAAGAGCGGAAGGTAGACTAGCTCTTTTTGTAACAAAACATACTGCCTTATCACAAATTGAACACCTTACTGAAACTATGAAAAAGTGTTTTCCTGATGAAGCCGCGAATATCAAAATGCATAGAACGAAGTCTACTAAAGTGATTAAAAATGTTTTGGCTCCCCACTTCATTCAGACGTTAATAAATGACATCGGATCACACAAGTATAGCATCTTGCTCGATGAGTCCACCGATCTAAACGTATCCAAATATTTGGGAGTGGTGTTACGATATTTCAGTCCCGCAAGAAATACTGTAGTGTCATCTTTGACGTGATTGATGACGAGTTGTTCCTAATTCTTGATGATTCTGTGGATTTTTAAACGTTTGCCAAAAATTGAAAACTAATAATAAAAATTTTAAACTTCTTACTAAGAACTACCTACTCATAAGTATAAGGTCATAAGTATTGTCACACAGTAAAAACTTTTCTTTTAGAATGCTGGCCACAAAAAAGTTTATTGAATTCGAATTTCGAATTGTTCATGAAAATAAAACTGTATACTTTTTAGAATTTTACTCATTTTTAAATATGGAGTGGACGCTTAAAGAAGACCGTGTTGCAGTTATTGCGTTGCATCGTTGCGGTTACGCGCCAATTCAAATTTTTGACATACTGAAAAATTTGAATATAACCAAAAGCTTCGTTTATCGTACCATCAAACGATACAATGAAGACTCTAGTGTAGATGACAGGTCAAGAAGTGGTCGCCCTCGGTCTGTTAGGACTCCAGCAGTGATAAAAGCTGTGAAGGCGCGAATTCAAAGAAATCCCAAACGTAAGCAGAAACTGTTGGCCCTTCAAATGGGGTTAAGCAGAACCACGGTGAAAAGGGTGTTAAATGAAGACTTAGGGCTTCGGGCATATCGAAGAAAAATAGGACATCGTTTGAATGCTCGTCTAATGGACCTGAGACTGAAGAGATGCCGCGCTTTGTTGAAGCAGTACGCGGGAAAAAAACATCGGGAAATTCTTTTTTCGGATGAAAAAATTTTTACCGTAGAAGAGAGCTACAACAAACAAAATGATAAGGTGTAGACAGTAGTGAAGAAGCGAGCAACCGTATTCCGCGTGTCCAACGAGGTCATTTTCCATCCTCGCTCATGGTATGGTTGGGAGTTTCTTATTGGGGCTTAACAGAGGTACATTTTTGTGAGAAAGGTGTAAAAACGAATGCAGTTGTGTATCAAAATACAGTCCTGACGAACCTTGTAGAACCTGTTTCTCATACGTTGTTCAATAACAGGCACTGGGTATTCTAACAAGATTCGGCGCCAGCTCATAGAGCGAAGAGCACACAAGACTGGCTGGCGTCGCGTGAAATCGACTTCATCCGGCACGAAGACTGGCCCTCCTCCAGTCCAGATTTGAATCCGTTAGATTACAAGATATGGCAATACTTGGAGGAAAAGGCGTGCTCAAAGCCTCATCCCAATTTGGAGTCACTCAAGACATCCTTGATTGAGGCAGCCGCCGATATTGACATGGACCTCGTTCGTGCTGCGATAGACGACTGGCCGCGCAGATTTAAGGCCTGTATTCAAAATCACGGAGGTCATTTTGAATAAACTTTAGTGTCATAAGAATCTATGTTTTGTTAAGTTCATTTTGGTGTATAAATGGTTACATAATGAATAAACTTGTTTCAATTATTTTATATTAAACATGGGACAGAATTTATGACCTGACTAGGTATAACTTTAATATGTTTAAGCTAAAAATTATTAAAAATAATTATAACATTAACGTTCTTTGTGTTTTTATTTCATTTTTATGACAATTTAATTAAAAACTTTGAAGAATAACGATTTTATGATGAGTAATCATGACTAAATAGGATCTAGGGAATTCTAAAGAATTTTTAACATCCTGAATTCTCATAATCTAGTGACATTTGATGGTCCTTCTAGTGACTTGTCCAAATTGAAGATGGCAACACTGTTTGTATCGCCCACGCCCACTCCTAGTTGTAGTTGTAGCTAGCTTGCTACATATCAGCGTTGTTCTTGATACGGCAATTGCCGTAATATACGGCATCCAGGTAACTTTGGCAACAAAAATACGGTATACGGCAGCTATTTAATTACCGTATTAAAATATACGGTATTTGACTAAAGTAATCACAAATAAATATTTCGTATAACGAAACGCACCAACTTGTGAACACAGAATATTTTTGCCACAGATAAAGTAGGAATGTCAAACGTTAAGAGTATTCAACTAGATTCAACCTTATCATTGAGGATTTAATGTCTAAAATCTTTAGTTCCTCATTCTAGTAAGTTTACTTACAACCTTTACTCGGGTAGGTTCTAGGATATGTGGGGAATCCCCAGAATAATTGTTACTGTGCTGTACCTATTGTGGTTCTGTCATTTAACGCTTTGTTTTGCTTTATGTATTAGTTAAAGCTATTTTACGAATATTTTTTAAAGTTTTAATTGAAAATGCGTGATAATGAGTGTGACATTAACGACGGGCCACCTACGCCGCAAAAAAAAGTTAAAAAGTAAACACATAAAACAAAAGTACAGAAAGCAGTGGGAAAGTGATGAAACGTTTAAGAATTGGATTGTCCCTGTCAGTGATGACCCCTACAAGGCAAAATGTACAGTGTGTGATGTCAAACTTTCTTGCGAAATTTCAAGTTTAAAACGTCATGTTTTAAACGCTCAACACGTAAGAAGAGCATCAGCGAGCTCTTCTGCAAGAGACGTTAGCACTTATTTTCAGAATCGACAAACCGATCAAAATAGGAAAGTAATGGAAGCCGAAATAAAACTTAGTGCATTCGTCGCAGAGCACAACATATCATTTAAGGCTATGGATCATTTATCGGAGTTGCTAAAATCGTGTTTTCCAGACTCCAGAATTGCTTCCGAGATTGCCATAAAACGAAAAAAATGCACATCTACGGTAAAAAATGTTATTGGTGATTTCCAAAAAGATTATTTGGACAACATTATTAAAAATAATAAATTCAGCGTACTGGTAGATGAATCAACGGATATTTCAGCCACAAAAACAATGTGCATTATTATCCGTTATTTTGATGACCAGCAAAAAAAGGTCATGTCTTCACTATGAGAACTGGCACCTTTATTTGAGGCAGGCGATTTTACGATGGCAGCAGAGGGAGCTACAGCAGAAGCCATGTATGATCTCATTATAAAGAAATTTAGTGATAGAGGGATCCCATTAGAAAATATTATAGCATTCGCGTCAGACGGCTGCAACGTTATGATGGGATCACAAAATTCAGTAGCCAGCCGTTTGCGAGAAAATCTGCCAGGTATATTTATTTTTAAATGTATATGCCATTCTATGCATTTGTGTGCCAGTGAGGCATGCAAAAAATTACCAAGACGATGCGAAGATTTGGCGCGAAACATTTACGGTTTTTTCAAACTGAGTTCCAAACGCCAAGCCCAATATTTGGAATTTCAAGTTTTTACTAACTCAAAAATCCACAAGATTTTACATCCATCGCAAACTCGGTGGCTTTCCCTGCTATCGGTTGTGAACAGGTTGCTTGAACAGTGGTACAGCCTTAAATTGTTTTTTACGCAGAAATGGCTCGAAGAAAAAACTGTAGCTGCAGAATTAATTTACAGTGAGCTGCATGACGATTTTATTAAGCTTTACTTATTATTTCTGCAATGGATATTACCAAAATTTATTAAACTCAACGAGTACTTTCAAAGCGCAGACTCAAAATTGGTGGAACTGGATGAACACATAAGATTAATGTACAAAGAACTATTAATGTGTTATATGCAAAGGGATTATGTTCAACAAAATGTGATCAGCTCAATCACCCCAGAAGATACGCGATATTTTCTCCCAGAAATGTATTTGGGGGTAAAAATTATGATAGAAACGCAAAAACCAGATATATCAACAAAAAAAGAAGAATTAAAAGAGTTTTACTCTCGCTGCAGAGATTTCCTCATCACAGGCTGCAAAGAAATTAAAAAAAGATACGACTTCTCTGACGATTTACTTCAACTTTTAAAATATTTATCACCTGAAGAAGCAGCTAGTAATCAAACAAGAAATGTTTGTCCATCCATTTTACCGCTTATGCAAAAGTTTTCCAAAAAATTGATGATGAATGGAGAATACTACCAGTGGTAAACAAATTACCATTATATGAAATTAGCTCACAGAAAACCGATGAGTTTTGGATTAAAATCCGTGATGGAACAGAACTAAAAACATTAGCATCTTTTGCTCTAAATGTTTTATGTCTGCCATACTCGAACGCAGACTGCGAACGTATCTTCAGTGAAGTAAATAATATGAAAACGAGACTTCGAAATAAATTAATAACTTCAACTATTAATGGAACTCTTCTAGCCAGACAAGCAATCCATAATCACGGTAATTGTACAAATTTTCAAGTGCCAAACGAAATGATTCGTAAAATGAAAGATAAAAAAAAGGATGACCTAAATGCGACAGAATCAGAAGTATTGGAAACTATTCAAAACCTATATGGTGAAGAATAAAATTAGTCCAACTGTATTACACACTTATTTATTACCTAAACAACATTTCATATTTTATTTTTTATTTTAACCTTCTAAATAAATATTTGGTATAATACGACATTTTTCTTAGTTTTCCCTAAAAATCCGGCAATTTCGGAATTAGAATACGGCAATCCTAAATTTGTCAGGAACAACGCTGCTACATATATATTTATCTATGATTGTAGCGAGTGTTTGTTGTTTGTTGCGGTCAGCTTTTAGCCTTTAGTTTTAATGTTTTCAATTCGAAGTTGAGATAGACGTTAAATTGTGATATGATACGTGCTATGTTGGATTGTTATTTAGCATATTTACACTGATCTTGATATATTTTTTGGAAAAATGGAAAATGCGCTCATACAAAGTAAAGTTAAATTATTGTTTGAAAAAATTCTTGAACCCAACTATGTTATGGATAATTATTATGCTGATAATTTATTTATCAAAATAAACAGTTCTGATCCAGGTAAGTTATAATTTTAGGCATAAATTTACATATGCAGGTTACATTAGAATAAAAAATAAAAATAACATATTTTATTAACTTATATTAAATTTCATTCATTTTATATATTAATTGAGTATTTAAATAAGTATGTGATGATGTATACCTGTGTATATATTATCTTGTTGTGGGTTCTGGGCCAAACTGCATTTTATGAATTATTAACCAAATTGCATTTTATGAATCCTATAAGATGAGGTGGGCTTAGATCAGTGGAGTAACGCTACTTTTGATACAGGGCCCCTCTAAGGCACGCGCCTTAGAGGGGCCCTGTATCAAAATTTGTCGGGGGCCCAAACAAAGGGTAATGATTTTTCACAAAAGGAACAAAAACTCTCACATTGAATTAAAATAATTATATATTGATTATAAGTTATTACTTACAATTAATAGTCCTAGGAACTATGCTCGCCAAACAATTTAAACCAACATCCTGTCCCGTAGAAGTCCTTAGAATTTTTGCTTACATACGTTCGGGGCCATTTTCTACAATATGGGTATCAAGTGAAAGGACTTGCTGAGAATATTAATGCGAGTTAAAAAAATAAGATGGTGATCATAACCTACGTTGCTCCAATCTGCCTGGAAAGAGCTAGACTATTCGAAGTTAACTGATAAACGACCTTACAACAATGATGCGTTTAATGAGATGAACAGACTGAGAAACCTGTCCAGTGATAACTTTTATAGTATAAGGGTGACAAATGAGCACACAGTTCACCTGATGTTAAGTGGTTGCTGTGGCCCATAGACATCTACATCTATCCTAAGATAGCATGCCTCTTTTCTAGTAAAAAGGGTCTCCGGTTCTCTACACTCACCATACGAAACACAGCAGCATTAAGCTGCTATTTTACGTTGGTATACTGTGAGAGCGTGGTCCTTCCCCGATCGAGCCAACCCATTCATGTTACAAATATACCACTTATATAGCTGCAGAGTAGCTCTACTGTAGCCGCATTTACCCAATAAAATGGAACAAGCTCAACCAGGAGTACTATCCAGAAGGCCAATATGTTATGGACGAGACTGCCACTAGTGCTAACTTCTTATAATACTGATGATGACTAATCAACAAAATTGAAATTGTCTGTAACAAACACAATTATAATTTTTTTACTTATGATATGTAGATACAAATACTACCCAGAGAGCATTATTTCCGATTGGAATAAATTAAAATAAGCCTCTGCTTTTCATCTACAATTAAGAAACATTCTATCTCTTGATATTTTTGTAACAATAGCAAACTTAAAATAAATTAAAGTACATAATATTTACTTTTGGTTTGATCTATTCAGAATGAGCTTATGGTATCTTGAAGTCTTGCTGGTATGCTTGGGTTTAGGTTTTGTTTTATTAATTATGGGATCACAAGCAGATGTTAGCTCCTAGGCATCTTCCCTGTTGAAATTTGGATGTTCAACAGCTTTACAAATCATTTATGGCAGGAATGAGTGTTCTTTTGCGAGGATTTTTGATTCATCAAATGTGATGTAATGGGGGAGACAAATCTAAATATATTGACAGACTAGACGTTCCGGAAATTAGAAACTTCCAAATAATCGCAATAAAATCTGTAAAATTTGTTTTATACAGTGTTATCATAGCGTACTAAGCACTATAGTATAAGCGTCGGTAGCACTGTGGTATTTATAAGGGTGACAAACAGCCCATTTTGCCATTGCCCATTGACATCTACATATATCTATCCTCAATTAAGAACCAAAATGGAGACCCAAGCCACCAGAAGACTGAAAATTGTTTTAATATTATATTAAATGGCTTACAATTTTTGGATCTGGCCGTTTGTACACAATCTGTCTTATTACAAAAACTAGGTTATTATTAGTCTCAGGTTTATACTAGAGTCTAATTTAATAAAGAAGTACCAAGTTCAATAAAGAAAATGTTTATTATAGGCCATATCTTTGTTTGTTTCAGAGGTAAACTTCTTTAAGTCTTTGCCATTTATGCCGGATATGATTGTGGAAGCACTAAACCATTTTGAAACATTACATAACACAGTTAAAGTTTTTCTCATAAGGTTGCTTGCAGTCGCCTGTGACAGGGAACTGAATTTTGCAAAAATATTTTCTAAAAAAGGCGATATTCTAGCTCAAGCGTTCACCCAAATTAACTGTCCTACAATGAACTCTAGTCTTAGAGTAGCTTATTTGGACGTGGCCTTGACACTCGTGAACCACAACTCGGGTGTTTGTTGGTTATACGATAGCGATGCTTGGAAGCAGATTTTGTTGCTGTGCAATGAAAAAAGAACGGTCTTTGTTATTCGAAAAACCTACAAATTTGCATCAGTATTTATATGGCAACTGAATGGTTTGGGAGATGAGACCAAAGTGAAGACTGTGCTTGATTATATATTGAGACCGGTACTCGAGACCGATTATTTAACAATGGATACAATGACAAGCGAGAATGAGGAAGAAATAAGCAAAACGCTTGAACCAATGTTACAGATGTTGTTGTCAATATTGAGTAATATGGAAGAAATAAGAAAGGAGAACAATTTGTTAACAGACCTTTTGATAAGAAAGTCTAAAATCACGAGTCATTGTTATGTCCTTAAAGATAAACTGCGAAGGGAAGATATGATGTTGCTCTTAACTAAAATACTTTTTTCGGTATCCGTACTGAGAGTAATTAATGCGCAACCAGTACCAGACAACGATATGTACCATAGAGAAACCTTTATAGATGTAGGGGCCATTTATTTTAATATTGTTCAGCTTTTGATTCAAAGGCGCAGCCCGACATTACTATTCGATTTTTGCAATGCTTGCAGTGCGATTTGGACGTCTGCATGGGAGGGTAAGCCGCCTGCTATATGGGAGATAGATGGTAAAAAGATTGAATTACATAATCAGATAGTTTTCATTATTCTTGTACCATCTCTGGTCTATGTTACCTTTGGGAAACCCAAATCAATGTTGTCGAATGAAAGAGTTGATGAGTATATTGTTAAATTAATGTCTTCGTTGTGCGAACATACCGCAAGAGCAGCGTACGCTTTGAGAGATCTCACATTACAGCTGGACACACTATCGATAACCCTGCAAAGTGTGAAAAGGTTGAGTTGTTGGAAAAAACGTTTCAGTAATGAGCAAGCAAATTTGGTTTTCCAAGCGCTATTCTACGTGTTAAAGGAATATGATCCGATAAATGATGAAGGGGAGATGAGTAGCGAGTCCACATTTGAAGATAGCCAGGAGAAAATTCTAGTGATGACGTATGTGTTGGATACATTGCTGACGCTGGTAAAGAATTATAACATTACATGGCACGAGAGTTTTGAAGTGTTGTGTTTGTACAATGTGGTTTACCATATACTGAAAAGGCCTAATTTGACTTGCAAGGTTTGTATTATGTTAACTATGGATAAAATAGACTACTAAAAATTTCTTCACAAAAAAACACAATAACTGATATTTACCCGACCGACAATTTGAACCCGACATCTCATGATCAGCAAATGCGTTTTCGTATTAAGGCAGTAAATTTATTGAAATTTAAATATTAATATAACAAACGCCAAATAATATATACAAATAAATAAAATTGAAGTGTCTGTTTGTAATGTCAAAATAACAGCTTTTTACTAATTGCATATAAAAGTATATACGGTACCCTTAACAAAAACAAAATTTTTAAAATTTTTGTCTGTCTGTTTGTTCCGGCTGATCTCCGAAACGGCTGGACCGAGTTTGACCGAACTTTCACTGGTAGATAGTTGATGTTATAAGGAGTAACTTAGGCTACTTATATTTTAGAAAAATAATTAGGGTTCCGCGTAACAAAATTAAAACCCTAAATTACACGCTGGCGAAGTCGCGGGGAACAGCTAGTCCATAGTATAATACAGTAGAACCTCTTATAAGATGAAGACCAAGGAAACTTTAAATAATTGGAGTTATTGATGTTTTTACTAACTAAGGGTTTAAGTTAATGAGTTTTTAACGGTTTATGTTTGTACTTACAGAGGTTCGTTTACGAGCTTTGGTTTAGGAATTAGATAGGTACATAGATATACGAGCTAGGTTAAATGCAAATGAAACTTAAATGTATACACATACTTTATTTTAGCATACATACATACTTTATTTTAGCTTTAAAGATACATTTATTCAAGTTTATTTTATTCTACATAAAAAGCCGGAAAGAAGGCTAAAAGCTAATGATAGGAGGGTGACACTGAAACTACTTAGAAAATCAAAAACTGAACAAACTAGCAAGTTATTAGTTTTATTATATCTTTTCAAAATAGTGTCCATTTACATCAATACATCGCTGCATCCGTTGGAACCACTGAGAAAAGCACTTTGCGCACTCGTCCTTAAAAATTTTGCGCGTCGTCGCTTCCTCGGCTTCCATAAAACGTTTTCCTCGAAGTTTTTCTTTTATTTTCGGAAATAAATAAAAATCGCAAGGTGTGAGTTCGGGGCTTATAGGGCGGGTGGCCCAATAAATCCACGTGTGCGATGAGGCGTTGTCGTGGTGAAGGAGGATCCTACTGCGAGGTCTTTTCTCCCGAACTTTTTCCAAAACAGGTGGCATACTGGCATACAATTGTTAGTGTACTATTCTGCAGTAACTGTTTTTCGATCCTCCAAAACAATTGTAGCATAATGACATGTCCTTCCGAAGAATAAGGCCACCATCTTTTTTCCCACGCTTCGACCTCTCTTCACACGACGAAGTTTTTGGGCCTCTGTCAAATCCAATCTTATGGTATCCACCGGGCACAAAGCTTTCTGACCGCTAAATGTTAATGGAGGATTTTGTGCACTTGACTCATACCGATGCCTAAGCTTGTCCGAATCTGCTGATTAGTCACTTTTATCAGCCTCTATCATACGCCGCAACGCTGATGTTACCTTCAGTCGCCGCCGTAGAAGGCCGTCCCTCACGTAAATCATCGGTGAGATTAGTGCGACCACGTATAAACTCATTAAACCAGTTGTAAACAGTGGCACGAGATGGGACTTCATCGTGAAAGGCTAATCGAAGTCTATCATAACTTGATACTTAATATAACAAATGAAAATGAATTTAACGCGAATTTAATGAATTTAAATTCATGCTGACGTGAAACAGACAATTTTCAATTTGCCTCCAAATCGTAAACAAATGACAAATTAATAAAATAAACACACAGCAAAGGGTGGCAAAGAGTTCCATTTTCAAAATTTTAAAAACTTTCAGTGTCGCCATTGTACAAATAAATTACTGTACTTAGACCTTAGTCTATTGTTTACATTTGAAGCCATTTGGTAAACATGTGTAAGCAATAACAATGGTCTACAGGGAACCCCTATTGTTTGCATATTCATTTAAAATGACTCATTGATATATGATTGAAGTTACAAAGGTCGTCTTCCTTACAACTTTGAGTTACTGAGGTGCGATGTCCAAATTATTCGTTTAAGTTATAGAGGGTTTGTATTTTACGTAAAAGAGGTTTTAGATTTCCAGTGGAAGGGAACACAAAATTTTGTGAATTTATAGAGGTTATTACGTTTTCGAGGTTTAAGTTATCAAGGTTCTACTGTATACAAATGTCAAAATTTTCTCCCTTCCCCATCTTTTAATACAAAGATGTATAACAAACTAGCGCACAGTCCCTGTGATGACAAGTGAATGCTGTGGCTCATAGACACATAGATTAAAAATCAAAATATAGATGTGTTATCATTCCTGAAATCTAAGATGGAATGTTCATCTGCACTCTACAGCATTATCAGCAAATTGACCAGGCGGCCCTTAAGTAATGCTTGCCATCCCTCTACTACAGTGACAGCCTATAAAATTCCTCGATGTGCTGACTGCCTCGTTGATCTAGTGGCTGTAGTAGTGCGACTGCTGGTCCCGGGTTCGAATCCCGAGTCAGGCCAAAAAAAACCAATGATTGAGTTTCTCCATCAAGAAATTCTCAGTAGCTGCCCAGAGTCAGGAAGTTGGCGGTGTCTCACCCCCGTGCCTCGGAAAGCACGTTAAGCGGTTGGTCTTGCGCCTGATCTCTCTCCGGTCGTGTCGGTTTACCGTCCCATCGGACTATGAGAGTGAGGGAATAGAGAGTGCACCTGTGCTTGCGCATACACTTTGGCACTAAATCCTGTCCTGCGCCGATGGCTAGTCTCCGTTGAGACTGGCCGCCGTGACCGAAATTCGGTCTGGAGGACATTATTATTATTATTATAAAATTCCACTTTTGAATGTAGGTCTCCCCTATAGATTGCCTCATAGGGGTGATTTTGCCATAGTTGCCACGCTTGACAGGCGGGTTGTCAACCGCAGTTTTTTTTATTATTGCACGCCTCACAACATGAGGGAGTGCTCTACTCTCGATGTGTGGCCATACCTCAATTTCGCTACATAAAATCGTTCTTATACTTTTAGCTAGACATCAAATCCATATTAGTATTAACGTTACAATAACTACAGACATTGAATTATAAGATTAGTTTATTTTCTAATTGATTCACTTTAGATAATATAACATGAAACACCCCGTCCAAATTGGTCCAGCTATTTCGGACATTAGCCGGATCAAACATACAGACAGACAAAAAATGTATGATTTTTACGTGATAGAGCCATACTACAGCTATATTAATAGTATAGTTGTAGCACGAATGGGAAGGAAAGGACCATGCTCTCACAGAATACCAGCGTATATGATGTAGATGTCTATGGGCTACAGCAACCACTTACCATCATCAGGAGGACTGTGTGCTCGTTTGTCACTCTTATTCTAAAAAGAAAATATGTAAAAATTGTGTTTTGTTATAAGTACCGTATATAATTTCTTATGCGTTTAGTAAAAAGCTGTTTTTTTGCTGACTGTTTGTAAAAGATGTGCCTTTTGGCATTACAAACAGACACGTCAATTTTATTTATTTGAATAGAATAAATGGGATTTCATATATACTAAGGATGATCCCTATTCAGTTTTGTTTTTACCTAACCTTTAAATGTCGATCAGATTCTCTGTTTTTGTTCTTGTAAAAATTATCGTCACTATTTTTATCTCTTTCTTGTCATATGTTCATCCGTGTATTTCTTCCTCTTTCCTGTACATACTCTTGTGTAATTTTGCCTCAAGCAACGCCACGATAGGAAAAAATAATATGAATTTATTTCAATAGGTTTCTCTTTTAGACAATTGTTAATTTTAATTTTTAACATGCGTGTGAGGCGTGCACTTTTGTATTTTCCAAATTTTTTGAGTTGTTATCAGGATGATGTCGCTGCCCATCTCCTCTTTCATTTTCCCTCTGTCGTGCCGTAGGTACAACACCCACGGGACGATATGTGGTAGTGGACATTGCATTTGCATTCGCTTTCTTGGATAGGCGTATTTTATTAGCTAACAATGAATTTACTAAGCCTGTTGATATGTGAATACATTTTTAGCCGAATTCAAAAAAGAAAAAGGCTAACAATTTCACTGTATCGTTTTAGTATGTATGTTACGCGGTCTTATACTTCGTGCCCCTTATCCCAAGTCATTTTGGGTCGGCATAGCATGTATTCCTCAAGTCTTCCACACATCTATATTTTCTTAGACACCCTTTACTGTTATATTCATTCACTTTCATAGCCAACATTCTTATTTATGTACACATATATATATATATATATATATATATATAATATATATATATATATATATATATATATATATATATATATATATATATATATCTACGTTAATTGGAAACTGATTTTGATTATTCTTTATTTGTTAAATAAGTTGCTGTATAAGGTGTACTTCAGGGGTGACAACAACGTATAAGTTTTTAATAGGATTATTTGGACGACATTGAGTAAAAAAATTCAAAGTTATTTTTTTTAAATCGCCTTTTTGCCATGAGTGTGGGCTACTTGCTTTTGTCAACTTGTACCGTACATGACGATCCTGATTATATTTAAAATCAAAAGCATAATAACGGAATATATTCTATGTCCCATTGCTGAGAATAGACTTCTTATTTCTTGAAGGCTTTTTGAGTGTTGATGGACTTCATATGTTTTCGAAATATTTTAATGGTGATTATTACCCTCTTTAGATAAAACTGCCCTGTGTTACTTTTCGGCAGTAGATTCATTCACTTGGTGGTCAGTTATTCCGCTTTATTCAATAACTCCTCAAAACTTTGCAGTTTGTGGTGACGGCGTTAAATATGATTGCGATGACTGTGAAGAAGTTCCTACCACCAAACTTGTCACTCCTGATGGAATCGAAGCCTGGTTCTGCCATGCATGAACTGGGCAAACTGATCTACGTGAAGCTGCACGACTTCCAATGGGAAGTTCGAGACTCTGCTCTTGAGCTACTTCTTGTGTGTACAGAGATATCGTTTATAAGTAAGTTTATTATTTATCATCATCATCATTATCATCATTACAGCCCTTCACAAGTCCACTGCTGTAGATAGGCCTCCCCCAAGGAATGCCACAAAGCATGGTCCAGAGCCACCTGCATCTATTGACATCCTGCATGTCTTACCAGGTCGTCACTCCATCAAGTGGGGGGCCGCCTAACATTTCGCCTACCGATACGAGGCATCCGAGAACCTTTCTTACCTATGGGTTGTTTGTTCATTTATGGTACTCAGAATTTGAAGTAACCATTGACTCGGACACGGCATTATACCATCAATGTTCCCTACATTGATGGTTATAATGCTAAAACCAAACAAATATAATGTATCCAGACAGAAAAAACGACATAAGTAAAACATTCATGTGCCTCAAATGTAAACCAAAGTTTAATATTAATCAATGCTAATATTTCAAAGTCGTGTGTTGACGGCGTGAGAAAATCCACTATACTATACATCACCGTGGGTGTCGGAAGAAGTAACAGTGAGAAATGAAGCCGGAGATGACCAGCAGCGCCTTTCCGATAACTTTTTTTTTACAGTATGGGCTGACAAACGAGCACACAGTCCACCTGGTGGTAAGTGGTTGCTGTGACTCATAGACATCTGCGTCTATCCTCAATAAAGAATCACTATGCAGATGCGTCGTCACCCGTGAGGACTAAGATGGAATGCCTCTTTTCCAGTAAAAAGGGTCTCCGGTTCTCTATACTCACCATACGAAACACAGCAGTGTTAAGCTGCTATTTTACGCTGGTATTCTGTAAAGCTGAACGCACATTATTTGTCCGCGCCGTATGCGCCGAATTTTAGAACTCGTTGTATGAAATCATATGAAACCTCGCACATTACACCTGCACCGTATGCGCCGAATTTTATAAAATGCGGTAGGTGTACGATATCAAAGGACGAATGCTGATGACGTCATATAACGCGGCGCGTGCTGATACTCAGTGTTGTATAACTTTGCCAACTTAGTGGATTTTCCACTAAAACTGGTGGTTTCCTTTTTAAATTAATAGTATGAATCCAGAACCTTCTTTTTCTTCGAATTTTGTTTTCTTCTTCCTCTGTCAATAAGCAGGCTAGTACAGTATTTTTTCCATAGTGATTCCAAGCGATAAATGTCTTCAATCTAATCTATCTAATGTACCGTTTCACACCAGTGGTTGGAAAAAACCGCAAGAGTTGTTGGCAATCCAAAAGATTTGCGTACGGTGCGGACGGTGCGTACGTGCAAGTGTGCGAGGCCATCAGTAAAATTCGGCGCGTAAGGCGCGGACCAATGTGCGTTCAACTTTAGAACGTGGTCCTTCCCCGGTCGAGGCGACCCATTCGTGCTGCAACTATACTACTAATATGGATGCGGCATGGCTCTACCACGTACATACTATAACTACTCAAAATATACTAAGGTTGCAACTATGGCAATCTATAGGGAGGCCTATGTTAAGCTGTGGTCTTTTGATAGGCTGTAATGAATTAATGAAAACTTCAAAGAGGTAAAATTGTGTGTATGTAAGTGTTTATCGGTGGAAATTCTGGAAATGTTAAAATTCTCTTTCTGTTAGAAACATTCTCATAGACTTTGTTGTGTAGTTAAAATTAGTTTAAAGTAGAAGAAAAATGAAGATACTTTAAATTCATTAAATATAACCCCTTTTTACTAGATACGAGGCACTCCATCTTAGTCCTCAGGAATGACAACGCATCTGCATATTGATTCTTAATCCAAAATGAATGTAGACGTCTATGAGCCACAGTATCCAATTACAGGTGGACTGTGTGCTCGTTTGTCACCCTTATTCTATTAAAAAAGTTGTTAAAGTGTAATAATATGTTTGTGCGTATTACAGAGTTCCCGCCATTTCAGGATCAAATTACGTCGAATAAATTAATTGACGTGGCTGCTACTTTAGCATTAAACGACCACGAGTTCTACGTGCGCGCATCCGCGCTCAAATGTCTGGGAGCAGCCTCCAAAGTAAACAACGTATGGGAGCAGCTGAAGTTACAGTACCCTAATATACAGGTACGTAGGTAGGTAGGTAGGTTAACCGTTTAGCGGCGGTGTGAGAATATCTACTAACCCATATCATCGCATAGGTGTCGTAAGAGGCGACATAGGGAAACTTACATATGAAATGACACGTCGTTTTCCTGATAACAACTCAAAATATATAAAGCATGCGTGAGTGTCGTGAAACACTCGCTTGGAACGAAGTTCTTTTCGTAGTATATTGGAACGAAGTTCCTTATCGGACCGTACGGGTTTGGCGGATGGGGGCTAGGCGACAAAAAGTGTAAGATTATTTCGTCACTACCCATTGTGTCTTCATCATCATCATTACAGCCCTTCACAAGTCCACTGCTGAACTTAGGCCTCCCCCAAAGAATGCCACAAAGCACGGTCCTGAGCCACCTGCATCCATCGACTTCCTGCATGTCTTACCAGGTCGTCACTCCATCTCGTGGGGGGACGCCCTACACTTCGCCTGCCGGTACGAGGCTGCCACTCGAGAACCTTTCTTCCCCATCGGTTGTCGGTTCTTCGAGCTATATGGGCGGCCAATTGCCACTTCAGCTTACTAATCCGTTGGGCTATGTCGGTTACTCTGGTTCTACTGCGGATATCCTCATTCCTAAGTTTATCACGTAGAGAAACTCCGAGCATAGCCCTCTCCATAGCTCGCAGAGCGACCTTGAGCTTCCTCATCCGGCCAGCAGTGAAGGACCACGTCTCAGTTCCGTATGTCATCACTGGCAACACGCACTGGGTGTACAGTCTCGTTTTCAAGGTTTGAGGTATACCTGACGAGAAGATGTGCCGTAATTTCCCGAACGCTGCCCAACCGAGTTGAATCCGTCGATTGACCGAAGTTGGACTTACCTAGTCGGACTATTTGTCCCAGGTAAACATACTCGTCAACAACTTCGAGCTTAGTGTTCCCAACAACTACCGGCATAGGTGTGACATGGACATTAAACATGATCTTAGTTTTGTCCATGTTCATCTTAAGACCTATCCGTTGGGAAACACTATTGAGGTCATTGAGCATAGTGCTTAGGTCCTCCAGCGATTCTGCCATAAGGACTATATCGTCGGCAAATCGAAGGTGAGTGATGTACTCGCCATTGATGTTGATACCGTATCCTTTCCAGTCCAGAAGCTTGAAAACGTCTTCTAATGCAGCGGTGAAGAGTTTCGGGGATATGATGTCACCCTGTCTTACGCCTCTCTGCAATTGAATAGGCTTCGTACTCTGGTTCTGTACTCGGATAGCCATTGTGTCTTAGTGTATTTTATTTTAAATGACACTTCATTTTAATAGACGCTAATAATTAATTTATTTGTATTTGTTAATCAATTTAGGATTACCCTTAACCGACGAGCGTGTATGCGTAAATATATGGATGTAAAGGAGGCGAGAGAGGTGTGTCAGGATCGCGCCAAATGGAAGTCCGTAGTCTCTGCCTACCCCTTTGGTTGACAGGCGTGAGTGTTTGTATTTGTATAATATAATAGGTTTATCAATAATAATATACTATGAAAGGAACTTCGTTCCAACCGAGTGTTCCACGACACTCACGCATGTTTTTATTATTGATAAACGTATTATATTATTGATTAACAAATACAAATAAATGAATTACTAGCGTCTATAAAATGAAGCGTCATTTAATATAAAATAATATTTCTTTCATAGAAAGATAAGAATAAGTGCGAGGGAGATATATATTATTCCATCTTGCTTCCTTATAGCCGCCAAGGCCGTCTATACTACGTCAGAAGGGGTCGTTACGGGAAAATCTTACACTATTTCTCGCCTAGCCTCCATCCGCCAAATTCGCACCGTCCGATAAGGAACTTCGTTTCAAAAAAACTGCAGTTACCAATCCGCCTGCCAATTGTGATTATTATCGCAAAATGCCTCCATATAAATCTATGAGGGAGGCCTATGCTGTGGACTTTTATAGGCTGTAATGGATGCATGGAATATACAGGTATACATACGTATACATTCCGAGTGTTATTCTAATTAAGAAGCTATGTATAAAATATTTCAGAAATATTGTAAGCGATTACCAGTATACAATATAAACAAGGAAATAAAACGTAATCTTTCCCATAAAAAAAAAAATGGAATATATTTAATAATTTATCCTCAATTGTAATTTTCAGGAATTGGTGCTATCCATTATGATGGAAAATCCGGAAGGCATTGTGCGAAAGGAAGCATGTAACGTTCTGTGTGAAATTTATCAAAATATAAAAATTACACCAGTATTTAGGCAAACGCTATATGAGTGCATGGTTTCCACAGCACTGAACGATTTTCATTGGGAGGTACAATTGAACGCACTGAGGTTTTGGAAGTCTGTTATACAACAGCTCTTAAATGCTCAGGGAATGTTGGACGGCACATTCCCTCCAGTAACGTTCTCGAAAGAGTCACGTAAAATAGTAACATTAAATGAGAAAGAAATTCAGAAGAGGCTACAGAAAACGCTAGAGGAGCTCGCTTCGATCGGCTGCCTTACTGTATTGGTGAAACTATTGCATGACGAATCTGAAGTGGAAATAATGGAATCGGCACTTTCAATATCGATGGAACTTTACAATATATTAAATCAATATAAAGTACCAGAGATACTTAAACCGAACGAGGGTGATCCAAAGAGCGTAGATGAGCTAGACTGCAAAATCAAACTCAGGGATTACACTAGTAACGATACTATAACAGAAGTTGAAACGGACACAACAAACAAAGTCAATAATGTTATAGATGGTATCTTGAATGTAGATGATGTAAATTTGTTATCAATGATGTACGAGAGACAGATGATGCTACAAAACGATGAGCCTCAAGTGAACGAACAGCAGAACCGTGCGAAGTTGTTAAAATTTGCATCGCCTTACTTGTTTGTTACGCATTTAAAGAGTAAGGATTTCAAGACTGTGATAGAACAGAAGAAGAAGTGGAAAGAAGGCATAAAAAGCTTGTCGTCTTTGTTGGATGACGTTCTTGGAATTTACGAGTTGAATGAAGATGTTAATTCATTAGATTGTTATTAAGATTGTTGTGATTTATGTATTATAATGTAATATATCATCATTTAATGATCTATTTTTAATATATACTTAGATTTTGACGATTTCAAAAAAGAAGGAGGTTCTCCTTTAGACTGAACTTTTTGTACGAATTTCACGCGTTATCTTCGCCTATTGTTAACCGATTTTAAATATTTTATATATTTATTAAAAAGCCTATATCTCTAAGGCCATAATCATCATCATCATTACAGCCCTTCATAAGTCTACTGCTGAACATAGGCCTCCGCCAAGGAATGCCACAAAGCACGGTCCTGAGCCACCTGCATCCATCGACTTCCTGCATGTCTTACCAGGTCGTCACTCTATCTAGTGGGGGGTCGCCCTACACTTCGCCTACCGGTACGAGGCTGCCACTCGAGAACCATTCTCCCCCATCGGTTGTCGGTTCTTCGAGCTACATATATGGCTGGTCCATTACCACTTCAGCTTACTAATTATGTCAGTTAATCTGGTTCTACTGCGGATATACTGATTTCTAAGTTTATCACGCAGAGAAACCCCGAGCATAGCCCTCTCCATAGCTCGCTTACCCTTGAGCTTCCTCATACAGCCACCACGAAGGAAGGAGCACGTCTCAGATCCATAAGTCATCACTGGCAACGTACTGGTTGTATAATCTCGTTTTCAGCTTTTGAGGTATACGTGACGGGAAGATGTGTCGTAATTTCCCGAACGCTACCCAGCCGAGTTGAATCCGTCGATTGACCTCTCTGTCGAAGTTGGACTTACTTAGTCGGACTATTTGTCTCAGGTAAGCATACTCGTCAACAAGAGCTTAGGGCTCCCAACAACTACCGGCATAGGTATGACATGGACATTAAACATGATCTTTGTGTTGTTCATGTTCATCTTAAGACATATCCGTTGGGAGACACTATTGAGGTCATTGAGCATAGTCCTTCAGCGATTCTGCCAAAAGGACTATATCTTCGGCAAATCGAAGGTGAGTGATATACTCGCCATTGATGTCAATACCGTATCCTTTTCAGTCCAGAAGCTTGAAAACGTCTTCCAATGCAGCGGTGAAGAGTATCGGGGATATAACGTCACCCTTACTTACATCTCTCTGCAGTTGGATAGACGTAGCACGTAGACGCGGCTCGGGAATTCGGTTTGTAGGTCTTCAAAAGAACATTGTCGCCTTTCTTGAAGAACAAGACCACCGCACTTCTGCTCCATGCCGCCAGAGTAGTGCCACCATGGAGGACGGAATTAAAGAGCTTCTGAAGGACTTCAAGTACCGGTTTTTCATCCATTTTCAAAAGCTACGCTGTAATTCCATCCTCGTCCGGGGACTTGCCATTTTTAAGGTGCTTAAGAGCCATTCTAATCTCACTCAGACTGACGTCGGGCGACGGGATATCATCGAAATAGTGTCGGATAAGACTTGCTCTTGGATCGTTACTCACACTTGCATGTGGCTCCAACGATGATGTGTACAGCTGCTCACCTCTCAATTTCACTCAAAATCTCAGGTGTCCCGGAAACAACGCTGCCACACTCAGTCTTCAGCTTCGGCAGTTGGCTCTTTCTGCCAGACAGATTTCTACCAAAGACTGGAGCTCTGGTTCCGCTCGATCGCTTCTTCAATACGGGCAGTATTAAGGTTGCGTAAGTCCCGCCGCATGCATTTGGAGATCTGTCTGTTCAGTTGCCTGTATGTTGTCAAATATGTTGAAGACCGCAGCTTCATTTCCCGTCTAACAGCCATGAGATTAAGAGTGTGATCGGAGAGTTTTTGTGTTCTTCTGCGGCGGGTCTCGCAGAACTTAGCTCCGATCACATGGACAGATTCAACTTAATTGCAATCTTCTAGGCACTGAAAACGGTTTTGTAACTCGAGCTGAAAGGTTTCGGGACTTTGGACTAGAGCACGAGGGGGACGGAGCGTTGACTTCATTAGACGAAACCTCTTCAACTTAACGTTACTGCCTCTAACCATTCGGTGATCGCTACCAGTTTTCGCCCTCGCGATCACTGAGACATCACTGAACAGTTGTCGTCTGGTCGTCATAATGAAGTCAATCTCATTTTTTGTCGAACCGTTGGGGCTTTACCAGGTCTACTTCCTGTGGGGCCGCTTCTGGAAGAAAGAGTTCATCATAAAGGGTCCCTCTTTCTCCATGAAGTCGTCCTCATACATTTCCTCCACCTCCTCATCGAGATGTGCCGAGGTTGGTGCGTGAACCTGTATGACCTTCAACGAATACCGTTTGGTGATTCTGAGTATAAGGTATGCAACCCTCGTCGACACACACAATCTTTACAACGTTGTTAACGAGAGACTTGTGGACTATAAATCCGACACCTTGGGACAGATGGTCGCCCTCCCGGTGATAGAACAAGTTGCCGGATTCGAGGATTACTGTGTCCGCCCCCTCTCTCTGAACTTCGGATAATTCTATAATATTCCAGCGTAACTTGTCTATCTCTTCTTCCAGCTTCACGATCTTCTCGTCAATTCTCAGGTTGCGTACGTTGTACGTTGCCTGGTCGAGTCGTCTTAGGTGCCAACCGAACCTCCACCACATTCTTAGCACCCCCTGCCCCGCCGATATCATGGACGCCATCGTAGCCAGGAATACCGGGGCCGCCGGGGACTGGGGGCCGTCTCTTCGTTACTTTCATCATGGGGGTATTTGCCATAGTTGCCACGCTTGGCCAGCGGGTTGGCAACCGCAGTTCTTTATCTGTATCAGGAAGATGCCGCTGCCCATCCCCTGCCTGTTTCCCACTGTCGCCTCTTATGACACTCACGGGAAGATATGGGGTAGTGGATATTCTTAACTGCCACTACACGGCTCATCTCTAAGGTAGCCCCATTTAAATTTGAAGTAAATTTCCACACCTAAGGGTGGAAAAATAGTAGATGAAATTCTTAATGTACCTATTTTAATTGTTTGACTCGATACACCATCCTCTCATTTTTTAGGGTTTTAGGGCAAGGAAATGTCCGCCGCGTTGCCCCAATGTGTGTTGGCGAATTTTACATGGCTTTTAAATGCTTATTTTAATCTCGGACATGCAAGTTTCCGCAAAATGCTTTCCTTTACCGCAGAGCACGTGGTAAATATTTAATAGAAAATATAAAATTATGCGGAAACTATTTTACTATTTTTATTCAATATAGAATATGTGTAAGTAATTCTTATTGTAAGTCACTATTACTTTACCACTGGTTCGGAAAAAAATCTGTCCTGGTGAGAACCAGCAAGAAACCCAGCAGGACTTTATTTTTCAAACTATTAACAAAATTTATTTTAGAAACAGCTTGGAAGCGATAGATAGTTTTTTGACACTATTTGTTATGCTTCGGCGCCTAATTACTTAGCACACAGCAAATTAATGCAGTACAGTTTTTACGTGTAAGGAGGTAATCAAGCGAGAGAGAAGAAAAAAAATAACATAAATCGAAAACAAATAAATTATACAAACTAAGGCGTTACGTAAGCTAAGTGCATAGAAAAATTAAAATCGATATTCGTCTAATTCTAATGTAATGCTCTCAAGGCTATTGAGCAAGCACCGACTTGCTATGCCATAGTTTTTATAAATTACATTATTGTCATCTTATAATGCACCTTGTAATAAATCTAACAAAATTGTAAAAAATTGTGAACTGACCATTCCACTATTCTTCATACATCGCATAAAAATTCGATAGAATATAATCTTCCAGCTCTTGACCTTTCACGAATACCGTTTTGGTGATTCAGAGTATAAGGTACGCAACCCTTGTCGACACACTCCCAATCTTTACAACTTTGTTAACGAGACTTGTAGACGATAAACCCTCCCGGTGATAGAATAAGTTAGATATATAGATAAAATATTTGTTTCTCCAATCACACATAAATTCAATAATTAAATAAGGTAAGGACAAAGAAACGTATGATATGTGTCCTTTCAGCCCTACGACTTGCATCTTAGGTTCAATTTAGTAAAATTACTGAAAGGGTGTGTAAGTAAGGAAGAGTTGCCGGATTGTAAGATTAACGTCCCCTTTTTTTTAGACCTCAGATAATCCTATAATATCCTAGCGCAACTAGTCTTATCTCTTCTTCCAGCTCTAGGATCTTCTCGTCAGTCCTTAGGGTTAGTGCGTTGGTTGTTGTCGGATCAAGTCGTCTAAGGTGGCAACCGAATCTCCACTGCCAATCTCGCTATGGCCCGCTTTTACTGTGGTCGCCACCGTAGCCAGGAATAGCGGGGCCGCCGGTAACTGGGGGCCGTTTCTTTGTCTTTCGCTATAGGGGTATGTCGTAATTGCCACGCTTGTCGAGCGGGTTGGTAATCGCAGTCCTTTTAGTGTAATTTTGCTGTTATCAGAAATCCAGCCCACCTCTCAGTATGTATCCCACTGTCGCCTATTACGACAGCCTTAGGACGATACGGTGTAGTGGTAAGAATATCTTACACCGCCACTACACATATCATATTGAAGTAGAGGCGCAAGGTGGTCAGCGTTTCGGTGTTTTACAGAATAAGGACTTTTCGTTTTCTTTTATAGGAGAAGGGGCAAACGAGTATACAGCTCACATGATGGTAAGTGATTTCTGCCGTCCATAAATAACTGCAACACCAGAGGAATTGCGGGTGCGTTGCCGGCTTTTTAGAAAGGAGTAAGCTATTTTCTTAAAGGTCCCAAGTTATATCGGTCCGGAAAAATCGCTTGTGGTAAACTAATCCACAGAGAGGTCATACGAGGAATAAAACTGGTAAAACGTACAGTGCTGGACCGCCAAACATCCAGGTAGTGTGAATGGTGACGGAAGTTTTGCCGAGATGTGCGTTCGTGAAATTTGGCCGCTGGAATTGATTTGCAAAAGAAAGATTGGGATGCAAAGGAATGCAACATCTCTTCGTAGCGCCAGTGACTCGTGCCGATCGAAGAGGACTCGGTTGTAAACGATTCGAGTGCTCTGCACTGTATACGGTCAAGTGAAAGGACACTGGGGAGCTCCAGCCCAGAGATGGGAACAGTATTCCATGTGAAGCCGAACCTGCGCCTTGTATAGTTGCGTAGAGTGGGTGCAGGAATTGCATGAAATAATTCCTCGCTCACCATTCCATCATTGGACCATCAGATGCTCGGCTGGTCTCCACCCCTTTGTTGTATACACCATGCATACAAACCAAATGTTAAGCTTCGTCGTTCATAATCCGTACGGCAATAGAGTGAAATATCAACCAAAATCAGTTTCTCTATTCAATTATAATGTATCTTCGAGTCAAGACTGAATAGGCTTTTGTTAAACTGAGTCAGTGTGCTTCACCATCGTCGGCTGCATCACCATTTACTATCAGGTGATAAAGTAGTCAAGTACTGGCTTACAATAGTTAAAAAGAAAATCCTAAAACAAATGATACCAGACCTTTCTACTGAAAACAAGACATTCCATCTTAGTCTTCAAGGGTCAACAACATCAGCATTTTGATTCTTAATCGAAGATAAATGTAGATGTCTAATGGGGTCACTCACTCATCCATTTACCATCAGGTGAACTGTGTGCTCGTTTGTCATGCATATTCTATAAAAAAAAAACAGCCTTTTAGCTCAGACCGACCAAGAAAGATGTGATGTTGATACCATGCTCATTTTCTTGTCACACACACACACATACATATCTTTCTTATTTATTTTTCTGCTGTTTGCACATGTATGCACAAATCCATTATGTTGAATGTAAATGATTTTAGATGCATAAGGGTGTGTGGTGTGTTTTCTTGCAATTAGTTTCCACGTAATTTGAAATGTATGTCGTTTTTTTTGTTTTGTTCTCTTTGTTGGCCTGAGGCCCTTTAGATAGGGATTGAGTGCTTAAATCTAAATAAGGTAGTCCAACATTAAAAAGCCACTGCAGTTTCAACTTCTTTAAATTATACAAACTACAACTAAATTAATAAACTAAAATACATCTAATCAATTTCTATAACAGCGCCAACTTTGGACAAGGCTTCTTTTAATTTTTCAGCTTCATCTTTGGAAATGTCAGCTTTTACAACTGTGGGTACACTTTCAACAAACTTCTTGGCCTGCACCAAGTTAAAACCTTCAAGTAGACTCTTAACTTCCTTAATTAGTGCTACCTTTTGCTTCTCATCAAACTTAGTCATTTTGACCTGCAAGAAAATACCATAAAATGATGAAACCAATTTTTCCTGCATTTTATATACATATATGTAAAATCAATTGCTCTCCTTTAGCCTCGCAAAAACTCAAAAATGGCTCAACCAATTTTGATGAAATTTGTTTTATTTTTGTATTTGAGTGGATCCAGATATCACCCATGTGAAGACAGAGCGGATCTATAATTGTTTATATATTATATGAACACCTTTATGAAAAAAATTCACACAAAATAAACAAAAAATAAAAAAGAGGGATAATAAAAATGAACAACTTAAACTAGTTGGTTGGTCTCCGTTTCTGCCTAGGATTCCAACTGGGTAGGGGTGGAAAGGGTGGCACCTCATATCTACTTCTGTCGCCACTTTCTGTCAAGCTCTGTTCAGTGCTGAAGAGTATAAAGTCAGCCAGTATAGGCTATAAGGCATCCCGTCTAAGTTCTTGAAGATGATTACAGATCTGTATTATGTATACTTATTTATTTGATGTTAGTGGATGATGTCCATGAGCTGACTTATTATCAGGTGGGCTGTTCTGTTTGTTTGTCATTTCAGTATTATAAAAAAAAAACTTGGTATAAATAGATCTTTTGGTATAAATCCATTACAGCCTATAAAAGTCCACTGCTGAACATGGTCTCCTCCATAGATTGTCTTTTTTTTATAGATTTAGAGTGACAAATGAGCACACAGTAGCTGTGGCCCATAGTCATCTACATCTATATTCGCTTGCGAATTAAAATGCAGATGCGTTGTCAGCATTGAGGACTAAGATGGAACGCCTCGTTTCTAGTTAGAAAGGTCTTCGGTTCTCTGCACACCATATGAAACACAGCAGCATTAAGCTGCATTTTACACTGGTATTCTGTGAGAGCATGGTCCTTCCCCGGTCAAGCCGACCCATTCGTGCTACAACTATACTATTAATGGAGCTGTAGCATGGCTCTATCACATAAATAAAAGTCTCATAGGGGGGAGTAAGCCATAGTTGCCATGCTTGGTAGGTGGGTTGGCAACAACAGATTATTATTTTGAGTTATCAGGAAGATGCACAGAAGGGCAGCACCCATATACTGTTTCAGTTTCTCCCTGTCGTCTCTTACAACACCCACAAATCAATATGTGGTAATAGATATACTTATATTGCCAATACACAATTTTCAAATAAATATATGTATCTAAATATTATTGCTTCTTACAGTGAAATTAGTTTTAACAGCTTTCGGCGCAGCTTCTTCTTCCTCTTGTGGTGGAGCAGCAGCCATTGAGAAGCCTCCTACAGGCATAACTGGAGCATCGGGGAGATTTAGCCTCTTCTTTAAAATCTGGCTCAACTCCGATACTTCCAGCAAGTTAAGATTTGTTATTTCGGTTACTAATTTTTCGATTTTGGGGGATACAGGTTTGTCAACCCCCTCAGGTGGTGGAATTGTTAGATTGCTTGCTGCTTGACTCACTTCTTGTTGTAAAATTGTGCTAAAAATATTATATACGATATTAGATCCGTTCAAAACTTAACATTAAAACTACATTTAATACATAGTGTATTCTATTAAATACGATTTAATTAATTTCTATTTCCAAGGAAATTAAAAAAAAAATTTCTACGTTTAATTTTGTTAAATTTTACTACATTACAAGACAAGAAGTTATTGTATAATAAAAAACCGATTAAGTATGGACACAGTTCACATAACCTAAAAATTATTGGAATAATAACACTATGTTGATTACCATTGTGAAAATGTACGAAATTGACGAAGTGGTACTTTTTTTAAAAATCTGATAGTATTCATTTTAAAAATTTGAGTTCATACAAGATTTCGTAAATTAAGGTTATAATTAATTTTCTTGGTTTTTAGCACAGATTACTGTATACACAGATTACTGTATACCAGTCACAGAACACTAATACCCTTAGGCGGGATACAGGGCCGGTCAACTTCCTAATAGCAGATTGGCACCGGGAGATGACCTTGGGGGGCTTTAAAGAAGCGAGATGGAATAATATCTATCTCCCTCGCACGTTATGTTATATTGCCATGAAAGAAATATTATTTTAAATGACACATCATTTTAATCATTTTTTTATTTAATAATTATAATACTTTATTATATAATATATTTCGTTAAACATATATTTATTACGTCTTTATTGAAGTAACAAAATGTATAAATATGAAACTGCATACTATAATAAAAAGGCAAGTTATGGCAACGGCAAATAAACAAAATTACAAATGGCAGATCCGTTGCGCTTGCCGCTTGCCGTTTCGTTCTTGTTTATTTGTGTTGCAAATTAAGTTTATCTTTCGATATAAACTTATTTCTTACATTACTAACGTTGAGTTGAACATCCCGTTCCTCCGTTTTAGTGTTTACAGTGAGAAAGAGACTCAAAAACAAGTGCTGTGCATTGTGCTAAAGAGACAGAGACTCAATTTTATCTTTCATCATGAAAGTAAACGAAAGGAAATGTTACAAGTGTGGATGTTCTCCTGCTCATGATCGTAACATCACCTTGCATCGTTTTCCTAAGCCTGGGAGAACAAATAGCGTACGGTACGTATGTTAAATAGCTTTTTGATTACTGATTAAAACAGTTTTAAAATGTTTAAATTTGAACCACTGAATTAATAAAGTAGCAGAAATAAAAATTATTATGGGCCGCATCAGCTAATAAAACCTAAGATACATATTAAGCGATTTAAAAACGTGTGCAAATAAATCTGAAAATTAGAGAAATTATGCAGAACAGCATGAGGTTTATCACATAGAAATCATAACATAATAAAAAGTTCTAGATGTATTGGTATACATAGAAATAACTTGTGGAATAATATTTATATATGTATACAATACAATCACATTGTTTGAAAGGAACAATCTTCTTGTATTGCACTCTGCTTTCAAGCACGTTTTTAGCACCTCAGTAGTATATTACTATCTAATTGTATTTTTTCAGATGGGAATTATGGGCGAAGTACTGTTTCCTCATGAATCTTGGTGGTCACCAGAATTTCAAAACAATCTTCATTCTAGGCATTTAATGTTGTGCACTAAACATTTTAAGAAATCATCATTCATTGATAATTTTGGAAAGAGGCTAGTCAAATCTGCAGTGATGTATGTAAATGAGGAATGTGATAAGGTTAGTTAATCTTTCTTTTGTTACTATCTACATTTTTTACTTTTGTGTGGCTTTTGTCATACTACAGTGAAAATATTATCTAGTTAACAAACGGTGGTAGCAGATTGAGTGGTGATTTATAAGGGTATGCGACGTAACCTATTTTTCCATTACTTCTCAACCATAAAAAAACAAAAGATATAAACTTTAAAAAAAAAGTTATCTTTTATTTTAAAAAAAAACCTTATCCAAACTAGGATTTTCTCCTCTTTGTGGAGGCAGTTTACAAACATAAATTGGATGAGGACAAACAACCCCCGGCACAATTATTTATAGGCCTTGGGTCAATTTAAAATCGGTGGCAGAAAATGTGACTGTAAATTTCGAAAACAAAAGAAAATAAAATTCTGTTTAACTTAGTTGTATAGGTATTTATGCTATGTAGATATCATTGTTAAATGCAATATCGTGGTTGGGCATGATGTCTTGCCACTATTTTTAGATTTTCAAGGAATTTACTAGTGCAGGGTAAAAAAAATTACAACTCTGTTACCATCATATATTTATTCACATTTAAACAACAAACAATTATTTTTAGAAACATTCTTTGTTATGAACATTAATTAAGTCTTTACTCTCATGTTCAACATGCAAAATTACACAATAGTTCTTCTTAAGTAGGAACAGTAATGGAAGTTAAATATACTCTGTTACTTCCTTTGTTTTAATGATCAAATTTTCACTATAAACTATGTAAATTGAATTAAATTATTAAAATATAATGATGATTATATTTCATTTTATTATTATTATATTATATAATTAATAAACAATGCATAGAGTCAGGTGTCAGCTTTTCATAAAATTCGAGACATTACTCTTATATATTTAGGGACACAAAAGTAACAAAGTTGTAGGAACAATAACATAGTTGTACTATTCGCAACAAATTTATGAACTACTATCACAAAAAACAATATTTTTGGCTATGAACTGTTTTAAGAAGTTTAGAAACTTAATTAGATTATAAAACTTAAGGGGAAAAAGCTAAAAAATCTTATTGAGATCAAATTAAACCTAAGCTGATAACTTATTTTTCAAATATCTCTAGTGGAGTATGGAACTGGTAATATACCCTTTTGCCTTTATTTACTTTTTAGGTACTGAAACAACTCTTATGAAACTCTCATATTGTTCATATGATATATCATTTTAAACTAATTTGTATGTTTTTCTAGTATTGTCAACAGAATTTAAAAAGACAATTTTTACTTCACCATCATCGTCTACTTCGCTTAATGCTTTGCCTAGATAAACACTTACTTTCAGAATTGTAAACTTTAACTAAGACCTAGCCTCCTTCTTTGATTTTACTTGGATGAATATTTTCTTTATGAATCAAGTGATTCTCATCATTTTTTTCTTTAGACAAGCAGGGTTGATCTGATGCCTTATCTTTTAATCGTAGCAAAGGATTATCATCATCTGATTCCGAACTCGAACTGTAAATTACATTGTAAAAAGATTTCCTTTTCTGTTCAATCAAATTACTTATATCCGCTAGATTAGTAGAATTACTCCTTTGATTCTTCGACTGTATCCTTTAGTAGACAATAGTTTTTTGGATTCATTCATGAGGAGAAACCAAGCTAGCAGAAACAGCTCAACTCTCGATATTTCAGCGCTCCCACTTCTTCTGTAATACACTAGTAGTACACTTGATGTACTTTCATTATACCATTGAAAGGAACAATTTCTGCTGGAATTTCATTTGTGATTCTTTCAATATCATAATCAGTTCAAGATTGACCTTAACTCTACTACTATCTTTCAGAGACTGATAGAACGAAGACGCTATCAGAATGTCTTTCCCAACAGCAACAAGCTGGTCAGCAGTCCGTTTTAGAAAGCCACCAACACCAACAGCTGCTCCTTTGCCGTGTCCCGACTCGAAAAAATTCCATGTAGGCTTGGTGAGGTTGTACTTTGAAAAAAGTTTTGTCCATATTAAGCAGAAGTTTTGATTCTGGCGGTACTGAGTAGCGGGTCATCTGAAAATATGTGTATCACTTTTATCTTAGGGGATTGGTCTTGAATTGAGGAAAGTATAGGATGAAGGTGACTCCAGATTGCCGAAGGGCCGTGTGAGAGGTTACCTGATACTGTACAAAAAGACTTCACCTCTATGTTTCGATTTTCCAAGCTTCGCTTATACAATACGCCAGTATGTAAGGATACCTGGTTACGAGTATCACGAAAGTGGTGTGATTATATCACTTCATGGAACTTGCAATTGTAATTTTCACTGAAATCTACGTGTAGCGCTATTTTTTCTTCTGTCAATCCATCTATACAAGATCTGTAGTTTCTATACTGAGTTGAGTCATGTCTTTTATTAAGCGTTTCTTTTTATGATATCTCTCTAAATCCTTCTTCTTAGTTTCCGCTACCTCTTCAGGGTTTTATTTGCACTTTTCTTTATAGCGCCGCTGCTTTTCAGCAGCAGTGAGAGCCATAGCAAAGTACTATGTATTATCTAGAACAAATGATGTAATTTATTAGATAGCTATTATATAATATTGATTCCTACTAACATAGAAGCAGAGATATGGATATACAGACGCCAACGATGGCTTGTAACAGCTTAGTAATAACAACTCTTTTACCTCTCTACAACTCTGTTACCAGTAGCTAGTAACATAGTTGTGCAGTAACAGAATGGTAAATTTAACTTTAGTGACATTTTTTTTAGAAATGAAAGTTTATTATGTACAAAGAAAAGCACATTTGATATATCTTACACTAGAGCTACTTCAATAATATAAAACTATACGCAAATATCTGAATACTTACGCGAAAACACCGGTAACAGAGTACACACAGAATAAAACCACGAGCCTCACACCGCAGCCATCGGATAAATGAATCGTGTACCCGCGCCTCAACCGCCGCAAACCGTACGGATAGAACAGTAGAAATTTAAAATAATCGTACAAGCTTCAATTAATTTATTTAATATGGATGAAGTATGTTTTTAAATGTGTTATGATTGCTTTATTACACTAGCTTTCAAACATAACAATTACATTGAATTGATAAAAAGATATTATGATTTTCGCATGATGCACTGCATATGGGACAGAATTTTTTTGTATGGAAAACAACTATGTTACCAAGAATGACCACTCTGTTACTTGATAAAAGTGGTGATAAATCAATAATAAAATTCATTTTTCTTGAGAATAAGCTTAGTAATTCGCCCCATATTTGACAAATTCAATAACATTATAACAATTTAATTAATATCACCGAGAAGAAAATATTTTTGCTCAGGGACGACTTTATCTGCAACCAATTTTAAATTGACCCCCTTACAAATACTTATTCCGTGTAGCATTCGAACCTGTGACCTTTAATGCTGCAACTCAATGCTAGCCACTGCTCCGCGAGCTGTCAATGTTGTTTAAATGACATGATTATAATTTAGTTACTTACAGAATATATTTACAAATAAAAGAAATTGTTAAAATAGTGTCTTAAAAATAGGATGGTGGTGGTAATGGTGTTAAAGCAACATTCATTAAAAAAAACAAGTTGTATTTAATGTTTATAAATTTATAAGGCTGTTTGAAATTTAGAGATTGGTTGACCAATGCTGGGATACAT